GTATGGCTATCTATCTTCAAGGTGGTGCTCATGGTCACAAATCTCTGTAAATGCTTATTAGCATCTTCATTCAACCTTTCTGAAAATGACCTTCTCTCAAGTTGAGTGATAGTACTGGGATGCATCTGAAAATTTGGTACATTCACTAGGTGGTTTGCAATAGTGAGTATACCAGCCAATGCATTCCTTCCACCATAGTCACCAAGTAGTCTCTCAGGTGGATTTTCGCCTATTTTTTCAGTTTCTGAATCTGTCTCTGTCTCTTGGTGTTCTGAATGGTGTTCTGAATCTGTGTCTTGGTGCTCTGAGTGAATTGAGGCATCTTCCTCGGAAGCCAGTCTAGCTAACTTAGCATGTCTTCTCCTTGTGTGAAAATTTCTTTCGATCTCTGCGTCAAAATGAAGTTCAGCTGAGGTCTTACCTCGCCTAAAAGATTAGTGAAAATATAATAATAAACAAAAATAACTAAAAAATAAATTTTTAATTGCAGAGCAATAAAATTTCAATTGAATAACAATGAAACTTAGTGTTTTGGCAGTCCCCGACAACGACGCTAAAAACTTGATCGAAAAAATAGCAAGTGTACTATTTTCACTGATGTAGTAATAATGGGATATTCCCAAATATCGATCTTATGGACTACGTAGGAAATACTGAGTTTTATTATTAATTCAATTAAACAAAAACAAGAGTTTTGGGTTTGATTGGAATAAATCCTCGCGAAAGATTAAATGAGTGAATGTAAAATGTGACTTTTATGTTTGATTAAAAGATGCTACGGTTGAGTGTATGATTTGCCATGAAATAACCTTCACCCTTTGATCTCTTCAACAAGTTGATTAACCTCAATTACTGATTCTTAATATTATCTTTCCCTAAGCCCGTAGTGAAAAAACTTTAAGCTTCTACCCTAATTTCAATGTCCATTCAAATTAGTTTTGAGGTTAAATATTTAATTATCAAGAACTATTTTAGTTATCATAGGATTGCCCTAGTCCTAGGTGAAATCATCTATAATATCATTATTTAGAAAACTTTAACACGACTATCCGACTCTAATGTGTTAATAACAGTGAAACCCTATGGTCCAGGTAAAACTATAAATTCTTCTAAATAATCAAATTGATGCATAAAAACTGTTATGTTGAAGAAAACAAAGAGATCAATACTCTTAACACGACAAATCAGGGGCACTCCTTAGCATTGGGGGGTTTAGCCTCTCATAGAATTCAAAAGTAAAATAACACAGATATTAGGTGTAGACATTACAATGAGTTTGGATGGTTCGATCTTCAATTGCTATTGTGCATGAAGAGTTTTCGGTTCCCAAAGCTCCTATGGATCTCCAGTCTTCTATCGTGAAATTATTCAATCATTCAAAAAGTCCGCTTAATTCTTCTCACAAACAGGTTTTTATAGTACTCTGTCATCCCTTAGCAATCCAAAATGTCCAAAGTACCCTTAATGGTCCAAAAATACCTAAAAACTTAAAATTGGAATTTCTAGCGCCTGAGCTGATACGGGCCGTGTCACCGGACATGGGCATTAGTGTCAGCATCTGTGATATGTTTTTTTTTCAACATTTAGCCCAGCTAAATTGACACGGGTCGTGTCGTGTGACAAAGGCGCCTGTGTCGCCTTCTGTCTCGCTTCCAACTTGCTATTTTGTTCAAGTCTCCCCCCTGACATGGCCCATGTCAGGTGACACGGCTACCCGTGTCAGAGCTTTTGAAGCACTTCTTCTGGAACTCTGAATTCTGCACTTTTCTTCCCGGATTTGTCATGTTTTATTCTTTTGAAACTGAAAACACTAAAATACAAAACCAAAGCATAAATGCGGTAAAATGAAATAAAACACCAGTCAATTAAAAGAAACAATAACTAAAATAAATGCACAATTCCTGTGTAAAAACCACTGATGAGTGCGACTACTTTTACATACTAGTATCAAGGGATTTAGGCGGACATAGTTTCGAATATAAACATGCTATAATAATAGTTAAACATAAAACTAAACATGATTTCTAAAACTAGAGACAATAAAAACTAAAATAAAACATGGAAATAAAAACTGAATGAAATAACTGGAATTATCTCCAAGTACAATTGAACTAGAATGCAAACTTGAATTAAAACTGGACTTTAAAATCACTATCCTCCATAAATGCAGACATGACTCGCTTAACCAAAAGTACTGAATGAATAATGAAAATAGCCTAATACTAAAGTTGTGATAGTCACCCGATGTGGAAGAGCTATCCCTATTTCAGGTGATTTTCTGCTCAAAAACTAAGAATAATACACTACTTGCAACGAAAAATGGTGGAACCCCCTTCAACTATGAAGAAATGCCATTTTATAACCTCTCTTCTAGATTCTCGTAATGTTCGTGGAGACAAATAAGGGACTAGTGGCTTCATGGAGAAATATTCGGGAGACTCGGTTCATGGAGAAATATCAGGGGAACTAGGCTCGTAAGTTACTGATATAGAGAAGGCCACAAGAATTAAATATGTGGCTGCAAGTAATTGAGCTGTGGCGAGGGCCATACTTGTTCGTCTTCTGTGGCAAGGGACATAAGTTTAAAATGTGGTTTTTCTGCACTTTTGATAATTTCTTCCATTCTTCTCAGTATCTTGGCCATTTCCCGCTCTTTTACACATGAAAGCTTTGTGTTAGAAAGTACCTGAAGTGAAATAGAAATACTGGCATAACATGACATAAATAAATGAAAACGGTAATAGAATTTATGCAATTCGAGTCAAATATACAGTGTAATTTCGCGTTATCACGTACCCGGAAGTGAATTGCACACAATTGTTAAGCCATGGCCGTTTCAAGGATGGGCACTAGATATCATAGGGGAAATTCGGCCAGCCTCGTTGAAACAACAAAAATTCGTCCTAGTTGGGATAGACTACTTCACCAAATGGTTAGAAGCAATACCATTGGTTAATGTCGACCAAGAAACAATGATTGAGTTCATCCAAAAGCATATCATTTATAGATTTGGAATTCCTGAGACAATCACTATAGACTAATGGTCAGTGTTCATTGGGCGTAAAATGCAGAAGTTTGCATCTAAAGTAGGTCTCAAGTTGGTGAGATACACACCTTATTACGGTCAAGCAAATAGCCAGGTCGAATCTGCTAACAAGGTAATAATCAGGTTAATTAAAAGACACGCCTCTAAGAAACCCAAGAATTGGCATATGACATTAGATTAAGTTCTATGGGCTTGTCGAATATTGTCATACCCCAAATTTGTCTTACTCTTTTATAGAGCTCGTCTGGCTTATGTATACCCATCAATAGGTCATTTAGCATTTGCATGCATCATTAATCAGTAAATGGTCATGTGATTAAGGCTTTTCTTTTTAGAAGCTACACAAAAACAAATTGTTCCGTCGGGCAGCACAACAATGCAAAACTCTAGTTTTTCAAGGTTTAAGTGTGTTCCGTATGTTTCACAAGCTATCAAACTAGTGATCAATCAAGTCATCATCATGTCAAGATCTCATGTATTTCTATGCACTCTGAATTGCGGGGAAGTTAGGTGTTTCGGTGAATTTGAGACAGTGTGAACCAGAAACAACGCTTTTGCTGGTTTGAGCTTATAATTTTGCAATTTGCAACCAGGATACTATTTAGGATTGAATCCTCAGGTATTGGAACCATCTCAGTATTTTCTCTATTTCATCTGTTCATGCCGGAAGCCAATTATATGCGGAAAGTCTCCGAATAATTTAATTTCCCTAAAGCAGCACTTGAATAAAATGACTGGTCATCTGTTCATCAGGTGTTTGGTATTTCTTAACTTTCATTTGATTTGGTATTTTTAGCTTATTCTTCGAGCATTGAGACCGTCTTGATTTTCTTATCACCTCTCGTGTTCGAATTGAAGGCTAATCTTGTGAATAAAACCTTCAGGAATTTTAATTCTTTGAAGACAATTGTTGAATTTAATTGTTGGTCGGTCGTCTCACAAGCATTAAAAAATTCATAACTTCTGATTGAAATACTATTTCGGAATGGTTCTTGAGGCGTTAAAACTGTCTTAATGTCTTCTTCATTTCATATGTTTGGCTTGAGAGCAAATTCTTTAAGGAGGATCTCTGAACGTGTGAATACTTTGAAAGGAAACAGTGGAAAAACGGTAAAAATACTATGCTGAATCATTATTTTTCGCACGTTCAAAAATTCATAAATTTTGCTCGGTGCATTATTTTTGAGTCGTTCCTCGGGCAAAAAATCCTTCTTGATGCCATCTTCATTTTGTATGTTCGGGTTGAGGATCAATTCATTAAGGAAAGTCTCGAGAATTATGGATTACCAAAGATTTTGTTGTGCTGAACCAGAGTTTTTATTCAAAGTTTTACGATATTGTAAAAATCACAACTTCTTCAATTTTTATTGTATCGAGACGATTCATTCAGAAATTTGATAAATGATGTCAGCTACAATTTCTCTTCAGACCCCATGTTCGGATTTTGACCAAAGGATTTTCGTTCACGGCATTCTTTTAGAACTGATCAATGAATTAATGGAAAAATTTGCATTAGCTGACTCTGCTCAGTGTCAGTGCGCTTTAAAAAATTCATAACTTTCTCTTTGTTTATCTGATTGAGTCTGTTCTTTCAGCATCGTGTCACAAATTTTGGATTCTTCAATTTTCATGTTGAGCTCGAGTCGAGATTTTGCATCTATGATGACATGACATTTTATACATGTGTTGGGTATTAAATGTGCTTACACAATCAAAATGAGGCCGAATCTAATTTCACATCCAAGGCCCAATTTTCCCACACTATATTAATTTAAAATCAGAATTTTCCTCTCATAATTTCACACTCACCAAAAACACTTCTCACTTTTCTCTCTAATATCTCTCAAATCAAATACACCTTTTCTCTCACTTTTCTCAAGAACAACAACAACTTCATCATATCATCATTAAAATTATCAAGAACTAAAATCATCAAAGCTCAAGTTTCTTCTTCTCACTCCCGTGCGGTACTCCTCTGATCTCCCTCTGGCGAACTGAAGTCCACTTCTCTCTCCTCCACCGCTGTCGGAATCCGGCCCTTCCTCCTGCATCGCCGCGGTCCGCGGCATATCTCCCTCTGTTTTGGCGATTTCTGACATCTCTTCGTTGCTCCGGTCGCATGTCCCGTTCGGTTTCCACCTTCTCCAACTTCAATCTTCTCGTTGATTTTGTAATTCCTCATTAGTCTTACTTTAAAATATTGAATTAAGGTGAATATTGTTCATGAGTTGAATGTTGATATAATTCTGAATTGAATTGAACATTTAATTGAAGTATAATTGTAGTTGTAATTGGACATATCATGTGTTGAGAATTCTTGAAGTTTAAGTGTTTGTGGATATGCTTGAGCCATTGTTTGATTGATTTTTATGCATAATTCATGAGTCAAGATTGGTGTAGTGTAGGTGTTTGACAAAATGCTTAGAAGTTGAATTTTGTTGCAATTGAATTGTAGGAGTTACTCTTAAATTTTGTGACAATGCTAAGATATGGAGTAGGCTAGATTTTAGTTGGAGATGTTGAATAATTGTTGTGTCTTGGACTTAAAGAATTGAATTGAAGTTGTGATATGAGAGTTGAAGAGAACATGTTATGGTGGAGTTTATGTGTTGATTTTATTTGGCATAATGCATGTTGTTCATGATGAGAATTTAACACAAATTATGAGTTAGTGCAATTTAGGACCAATTGTTGAGTGATTAGCATCTTTTAACACACAAAACCTCACATTGGGAGAAAATTGCACTAATACATAGTTGGTATTTTTTCTCCTGAATTTAAAGTTTCCATTGCATTTCTATTATAATTAACTTGTGCATTAGATTTAGGTGACGATACTTGAACCTTTGAACACATTGCCATGAGTTTTCTCCATGTTTGAATCAAAATTCTGTTAAATTGCACAAAAACGCAAGTTTCTTCCCCGTGCATGAAAGTAGCGCTAGTGCTTGGTTTTAATTCGAGCCATATAGTTTTTTGAGTCAGCTGGCACGTTTATGAGCAACCATGCGATTTTCGTTCAATTCCGTGACGGTGTTTTGTGCGCTTAATTTTTGGAAATAATGCTTTTTAGCTTGCTTTAACATGAACTTTAAGTTTTAAGCTTCACTTGATGCATAGTTATACTTTGTGATTCATTTGTGGACTATTGTGTTTGACTCGTCTCGATTCCGGTTTCATTTTCGGTGTATTTAGCGTTATGTACACATGGCTGCCCGGATCGGTAAGTGGTACTTGCGGTGCGAATTAACTTCTGATTTTGATTCGTTTGATCTTGTTGGCACATTTATAGCTACTGGTGTATTTTGAGCCAATTCCATTTTGTTGTTTTTCGCGCGTTATTTTTGCATACAAGGCAATTTGGCTTTGTGTGATGTGTACTTTGAGTTTTAAGACTTGTATGATGCATGTTATTATTTCATTGATTACTTGTGGGATATTGTGGATGTGTTGACTTGGTTTCAGTGCATTTTCCGACTTGTTTTATCACATACGCATGTTTCTGCCCGAGAATCACTTTTACGCTTCCATTACTTGTCTCATTTAACTTTATGCATGATAATATGCCATTTTCATTAGTGATGTCGATTATTGAGTTGCATTTCATATTGCTTGTTATTTGCTAACATTTCTTGTGAGATTGTGCAAGTTTGGAAGGAGTTTCACCGTGTTGCATTTGTATGGATCATGCTTTGCTTGTATATCATCATGTTGTGCAGTGGCTCTAATGTGATGCGATGCATTTGTGGCTCGCGATTTATTTTTGCACTTGATATTCATTGGATATTATTCCTGACTATTGCGCTTTCTTGCTAAAGCTTGCTCGAAGTATTTCATGTTTCTTTGCTTTCGTATGATAATTGACAAATTTGTGTTCGATTGGTATTCTCACCTGTTTCCTTTTATCTCTTGCACTCTTTACCACTTTCTGATGTCATGAGAAGTAGGAATAGAGATGCATGCTTTACCACTTTTCTAGATATAATGAGAAGTAGGGTTATAAAGAGTGTGCGTTCGAAGTCGCTGTTTAAAGACATGTAGCAGGCATTCCACACTTGTATGCTAATTGTGCTTATGTTTGCTTTCATCTTTTGATGATCGATGATGTCACTCAATTAGAATTGAGATAACAACTTCGATCTTTGCATGCTCCCATAGGATTTTTTGGCTTTATTCTTTTGACGATCAATGATGTCACTCAATTAGAATTTAGATAACGACTTTGATCCCTTTACATGTTCCCTATAGGATAGTTATTCTCGCCCTTAGGTTTTTAGTATGCTAACATAGTTAGGATTTCGATTTCATCCTCAACCTTAGGATCAACATCACATGTTAACATTAGGATTAGAAAATAGTTAGTTTCCCTCAGTATCTTTTTTCTCTACTGCATATGCATTAAGACAAAAAAACTTCTCTTTTCTTTTCAAACTTCAAAACACTCTAATAATACAAAAATTCTTTTTCAAGGTAAAATCAACCAACCAATCCAAACTCTTTTCGCCTACGGGCCTTTCATCGAAACTCTTAAAAGGATGTGCTAGTTCTACTCTAGGCGATACGACGCATAAATCCCCAAAGGCCGGGTTGCACCGTGTCTACTCACCAAAGAGTCGCAAACGAAGCATTATCTGCCTTCAGACATTTTTTATTTTGAAAATACCTCGTATGGCATGAACATGTTAGTTCCTTTCTACTACAGACACATGAGTCTCCAAGGGTCGTGCAATGGTAGAATGCGAAACTTAGCATTGTTCCATTAAAAAACACAAAACACACGAAAACATGTAAGTCGAACTATGGTGCTCTAACTTTGCCATTGCACTAGGGAGTACGTAGGCACTAGGTTGAGAGGCCTAGGCAAGAGAATCTTTGTAAACATTCCTTCTTTTCCCTGTATTTTCTTTTGCATGCATTCCCTCTTAGCAGTAAGCTTTAGACATAGTTTTTTTACACACCCTTAGATTAGAACAAATGAAAGTGGATCATATGGAGTACCACAGACGTGTGAGGTGCTAACACCTTCCCCTCGCGTAAAGGATTCCGTACCCTTTCTCTTGGTTAGAAGACCATCTTATCTGTTCCTTTGGGATTCTCTCGATATCTTCCCTTCCTCTGGGATAAATAGAGTTTGGTGGTGACTCTGTTTTTCTCGCGATGCAAAAAATGTCTCCTAAGGAGGCGACTGGGTCGATACCCTTTCAATTAGAATTTGGACACAACATGGTTTTTCCAATCGAGATACACTTGCAATCAGTACGAGTACATCACCAAAATGAACTTTCATCAGAACAATATTGGAATATGATGCTTGATGAAATAGTAGATCTGGATGAAGAAAGATTAGTTGTGTTGGACATACTAATTCAACAAAAAGAGGGCCCATAATTAAAAGACCAAAATAAAAACGTTTGTAGTTGGCGACTACGTGTGGAAAGTTATCCTTCCCATGGATCAGAAAGATAGAACTTTGGGGAAGTGGTCACCAAATTGGGAAGGAACATTCCAAGTACTACATGCGTTCACCAATAATCCTTATGAGATCGAAGAGCTAGGCTTTGATTAAAGAAGCTTAAAAGTAAATGGGAAATAATTGAAAAAAATATAAACCTATGCTTTCAAGAGATTCAAATTACTACAAAATAAAGCATGTCAAAATAGTGTTGGCCAAAACGAATGAATACCAAGATGGATATCAAAAGTTACCAAAAGGGGTTACATGGTCGAAAACGAGTCTCAGCTAAAATGTAAGCCACGACAAAATTACAAATGTAAGCCTTCTGTCCACAAATTTCACTCAGTTCCCACTCAACTCTCATTTCATTCAGTTTGGTTTTAAGTTAGAGTTCAGTGTGTCAGCAGAATGTAAGATCTTTTGCGAGTTGGCTAAAGAAAGCCTCGAAGTCGATCAAACACTGAGCCAAGGAGTCATGAATAAGATGTTGGGAAATGGTGTCGAGAAGCTTAAAAATCCCAGCTGCCATGAAAGTTTCCTCCTTGATGACAGCTAAGAACTCACTTTCAAATAATTGAGATTTTAGTTGGTGAAGCGCGTGGATTACTTTGGCGTCCAGTTCAGTGATGGATAGAGAGGTTGGTGAAATAATTAGTCTATGTCAAAGCAAATGAATCTTTTTGAATGCTGCCATTGGACCTTGTTCCTTCAAAACCTTGATTTCGGTTTAGGCTGCAAAGTCGATGGGTGTAACAGTGTGCAAGACTTGAAATGGAGTCTTGACAAAAGCTGGATGATTGGACTTTATAGTATTGTCACCAACAAGAGCAGTTTTGGTTGGATTCAGTTCAACATTTTCTACGTATAAAAGTCCCTGAGGAAAGTTTCGAAGTTAGCATATAAACTAGAGGCATGAAAAGAAAAAAGAAAAAAATGATATATACCTCTTAGTTTGGGTGCACAACATTGTGCTCATGTGGGAATGAGTCGATGAAGAGGGTGGTGGTCATTCTCTTTGTCATGTCGGAGGAAGAATCTTGATTTAATTTGACTGGAGGAAGGCGCTCCCGCTCATGAGAGACCAATGATACAGTAAGTTGTTGAGTCTCCAGGGCATTAAAAGTATCGATGAGCCTTTGAAGGAAGTTGGGTATAGAGAAGTATTTATCTTGATATTGAGGCCACTCTAGTCAAACAACTCTGAAGTAAAAAAGGAGTGTTCAAAGTTAAAAACTGGAAGTCCAAGAGTTTTGGTTGCACAGAGGAATTTGAGGTAAGCCCGATGTTCCACTACAATGAATTATCTACCAACCCAGATGATGTCGGCTTGGCGGTAGAACAAAGAAGAAGGAAACATTTTACTAAGGCCTAACTGTCGAGACACCAAGTTAGGTTGATAACCCATGAAACCATATCCTGTCGAGCCATCGACAATTCTAAAAGAAAACAGAGTGGGTGTTAAAAAGGCCTTCCAAATTGCATTTGTACGGGCAACATTTTGAGAAATGTTAGGAAAGGGATCTCGAAATCAGTCTGGACCAAACCGTCGCTTCACAAAAGGGGCCATGACTGAGACAAATGTGGTGGTCTCGACGAGCAGGTTGATATATTTCATAAAAACAAATCGGTCAAGTTTGGGGGGGTGAGTGGTCAAAGACAGACTTAGGCCTTCAACGGTTCTAGCCTTGTTTAGACGCATAATCCATTCAGAGATAGGGTGGCCCAGT